CACAATACTTCGGATAACACAATCTAAACTCACTGTTAGATTACCCAGGTGTTAACAACCTTTATTCAAAAGAAAATATTGCTCTATATATGTTTACATTTGCACACATGACAGTTTAAACTTATCAATATTATCCTATTATACTAATATGATTAATCAATCAATTGTCCTTTTTCCATTGCAATTATCTGTAGAAACCTTCCTATTGCTATTTCGTAATAGTTCTATGTGTCTATATGATTCATCAACTATGTAAAGTTCAAGAAACTTCTCTAGCTAAACTAATAAAGCAATTTTCTAAGGTTATAATAATTAAACTGATACTTATAATTGAATACTTATGAGTCAAAAGTACTAATAATACTAAAAGTGGTTAATTAATGTAAATAACTAATAAAACTAAAATATATTATAAGAAATGTTTCATATTGTAATAAACTCAGCCATAATCATAGGATTTCTGCGTACTACATCATGTGACTTGTTCGATCTTTAACTATTTTCATGGGCAACCCTAACAATAATCTTTGATTAATTCAATTTCAAGCAAAAATTTTGGTAACAATATTTTGTCCGTCTGTGCTTGATGTTTTTGTCCAACTGTGTTTGATTTAATCCAACTATACTCGATAATTTATCTTTGCCAAAAATTAGTTTCTTTGTCAGCACAGGGTTGATATTTTGTCGGTCACATGTTTCTAAGTTTAGCGTAGTTATAAAAAATTTTTTTTTTTTTTTTATTGGCTTTTTTTTTATAAACAAATTTTGTAGAGAATTTTTATTTTTAATATATTTGTTTGAAAGAATTTCTTTGGGAATTTTTTTAATAAGATTTTTTTTTTTTGACATATACTTAATTTGTTGGAACAATTTTTTTTAACAGGAGAATTTTTTTATTTGATAGAGAAATTAATTGAGAATTTTTTTTTTTTTGTAGAAAATTATTTGAAGAATTTTTTTAATAGGGAAGGTTTTTTTTTGATAGATAATTTCGTTAGAAAATTTTTTTAACAAGTGAGTTTTTTTTTGATAGAGAATTTCGGTAAGAATTTTTATTTAATAGGAGGGAGTTTTCCTTGATAAAGAATTCTTTCGGGAATTTTTTTTAATAGGTGAAAGTATTTTTTGACGGAAAATTTTATTAGAGAATTTTTTTTTAATAGGGGGATTGTTTTTGATAGAGAATTTCATTAAAGAATTTTTCTTTAATAGATTTCGCGGAGAATTTTTTTTTGGTGGGCCAGCATTACATTTGGCCTGAATTGTAGCTATGGGCAACCTATAATGAAGACATTGTGTGTCTGAAATCTGAATCCTAATTAATAAGGACATCAGATGTCCGAGTTCTGGTGGTCAGCTAACCAGCTTATTTTCACATGAATTCTTTCAATATTGGGTAGTGGTTCGGTCTATGTTATTAGCCTATGGGAAACAGGACATTGGTTATCTGCCCATGGGCCGCCCATATAAGGGTTATAACTTATAACATAATAAACATATACACTTGTGACTTAAATAGTAAGGTTATAAGTTATAACCTTTGATGTGCCCAAAATTATGTGGCGTTTATAAATATTTTTCAGAGATAGCACCCCTAGCTTCATCACTATCATTATTGGACATCACATATGGTCCATTAACGCAAGTTGGACGTCAAATACGTTCAGTCTCAGGTACACTTAATCAATAAGCCACATGATAAATACTGCGCATTTGTTGAAATTATTTTAAAAAGTAATATAAATATACGTATTTTAATTTTTTAACTTTACTTACCTTAAGAATTGAACCTAAGACACTAAATATTCATTTTTCGTGATCTAATCACCTAGGCTATTTATAATACGTATGTTTTTGTTGAAAATCATGTAAGTTAATATCTTACTATGAACTTATTGGACAGTTCGTCATATAACTGTTATAAAACAGTCTTGTTCAATCATTGTCCGTAAACATAATAATTATAACGATTAATGACTTAATAGTCAATTAACAGTTATTGGACATACTGTATATTTCGTTAATTTTACGTAAAATTACTGGACTGCCCGATAATTTAGTGATGTCATTAATATGACGACTATGATGTTTAACTGGAATTGTATCATTTTATGCAAAGGATTAATTCAAATCTTATATACAGTACTGAAACGATCAATTATTTGCAATGTCGTGCAAATATAAAAGTCCAAATCTTCAGAACATATATACTTTATTAATTATTCAGATCTGCGTTATATAAAACTCTATTATTGTGATAAAACAGTTACATCATACATTATAATCTTAAGAAAAACATAGACTACAAACTTTTATAATTAATACTTTGAATTCTTGCATTATTGTCTAGCTTACAAAATATTAAACACAATAACTAAGTGAATCTATGTGACGAAAATATTTGAAATCTTTGATTACCCCATCACTTTTATATTTATTGATCAATTTTGTATAATCTTCTGTTATATAATAAGAATCAATAGTAAATATAGAAAGTGCATGTCTGCCTTTCCATTTTTCTAAGAATTCTTCAAAGTTTTCTAAAGAAAATCGTAAATCATCATCACTAAATCTAATTTCTTTTAAATTAGATGGAGCTGATCTAATTAATATTTCTAATAAAATTTCCCCATTTTCCAACCTTTCCTCAGTTTCAATTTCATCCACATTATATGAAATTAATAATAATGATTTTAAATTTTGACAAATTTTAAGTAATTTTTCAAATTCAGCGAAATGTACTTCTGATGGTGGAAATATAATTGTCAAATATTCAATTGAAGGACAATTTTTATAAATTTCACGAATAAATTTGAGAGAATTTTCTTTAAAGCTACCAACTTCATTATCAATAACATCATAGGGTTTAAATAAAATTTTCTTAAGACATCCTCCGCTATTTTTAATTATACTAGAAATTAAATTTAACATATTACATCCTATATCAAGAATTTCAAGTTCATGATAAACCTGCATTTTCAATTTTTCTAATTGTTCATCATCAAAATGAAGAAAACTTTCAATTATCAATATTTTTAGTTTATAAAATTTTGGAAGTATCTTTTGCAATAATATGTGTTCATAATTTATCGTATATAGGAAAAATATTTTTAAATAATTGAGACTTTCTGCTTTCTTTTCTAGTGCAAGAAAAATTTTATCGTATAGATTATCAATCATAAAAAGCTCTTCATGAAAATAATCTTCCCATTCAAAATGCTTTAAGTTCTTCTGAACCTCAATTAACCTAACAATCCCATGATTAGATTTTGTGTCCGTGTTGATAATGATGAGTCTCTGTATATATTGACAGAATTGCGATAATCCATAAAAGTATGAAGAATCAATAGATGTATTACATTTTAATTCACAAAGTGACTCAAGACGGATCATGGCTTCCGGAAAATAAAATATTTGATGCTTTATTGATTTCATATCAAAATACTTCAATTCTGGACATTTTCTCATAAAGAAAAAGTAAAATTTTTGTTGCATGAAAAATTGATTATGACCTAAAGTTGATCCAATAGAAATTATATTATTTATAGTATCTACATTAATACTTCTGCAGAAAGAAAAATAATCAAACGAGAGCGATTGATTTGAACCCGAAGGTAATTTGATTTCTTGCTCTGTTATGAATTCTTTTATATCATCTAATAAATAGCAAGCAATAATGAAAAACAAATAGGTTTTATTCGCATAATTAATATTACTGTAGCACCAAGGATTCCTCCATAAAATCGGCACCACAGTTTCACACCAAAGTCTATTAACCATTAGACATGAAAAGAGGGATTTTGAATCTTCTTGTAATTCTTCAAATATTAAGAAAAGAATATCTTCATTGAGACTGGACATTCTTTATTCAAAAAAAAAATGGCTTAAAATAATTTTTATAAGTGAAACTTCTAAAATATTTTCAAAAAATAATTTTTCAAAATATTAGAACGAAAACTATTTTTTTTTAAAAGAATGAGTGAACAACTCCTAAATTTGATTATCCTGTACAACCATAAGTTTGATCAAATGGTACAAGTAATGTTTCACAGTAACGATAATCAATAAACAAAATTACGCCCACCGTTCCCGTTCTGATAATAAGTCCATCTGGGATACCCAGATAAAAATTTGGTGTTGTAATTATCTCATGCCTTACCGTATAAAAGGACCCAGAAATATATATAAAAGGGTCAGGTTTGAGTTTGCGTATTTTGAACTAAAAAAGTCATGAAAATCTTTCCTTTTTTAGATAATTTTTGATAATGCCAGTCAGACTTTTATTTCCTATTATAGTAGCCGACTGGCATTATCATAATTCCGGCCTTGAAAAAATGCGTAGTAAAAAATTTTTTTCATCACCTGACCCCTATATATATATTTCTGGGTCCTCGTATAAACCTGTTTATAAATAAATGTAATTTTTTAAAAAACAATTTTTTATCAGAGTAAATAAAACTTAGGATACAGTATTATCATATTTATGTTTTTTATAGATATAGCCAAAATTTTCATCGACCAACCTTTCACCAAGGTTTGTATTTATATAATCGCAAATCAAAAGTTATCCAAAATAAGAAAAGAATGATTTTTTCGTTTAAAATAAAAAATTGTTTATTTATTTAATAAAAAAATTGCTTTAACAAAAAAAAATGATTTTTTTATGAAAAAAAAAAATCAAGTGTTTCATTTTTTAATAAAAAATGATTTTTATTCATTTTTAATAATAAATTTTTAATATAATATTGCGCAAATATTAAATAGGTTTAACGAATTAATCTGGGATAAAATAGGTCAATCTGGGATTAATACCAGATTTACCAATAGAGACTTTCCGCAATTTTCCACTTTTTACACCAGAGAGTCATAAGTACTTTAGGAGCCTTCGTCATTATTTTATTTAGTTCACTTCTTGAGAAATTTTAGGTACAACTTTTTTTCTTTTTTCTTCGACTTGCTCTGCTAGCCTATTTCACTTTACTACACCTAATATCTGCGCAATGGCGACAGCGCCACCCACTTTTTCCGAACCCGCAGAAGCGGTTTACGACTTTACAAACCTTTACGATATTTCTCACAGTTCGTTAATTTTCGCTCAATTTCCTATCTCTGGCGTCGATATCGGGCAGTGGTACCCTGTATTCGAAAAAAGCACAATATTACCTTTTACGACTTAACCACGAAAAATTAACACCAATAGAAAATGAATTTCATATTTTGACCAACAATGTCTATAGGACCAACAGCAAAAATCTCAATTTGAATTTTACGATCAGCACTTTTATCAGCCATTTTTTTCCACGACCGAATTTTCCCAAAACATATTAGAGACAAATATTTCCGACGATTACATAGCCTTTTAAGGGATAAACTAGACGCTTTTACGCAACCGAATTTTTTCGAACAAAGACAATAATAGGAAAACGACTACATATATAAAATTTCATATAAACGACACGCGATATATATAGGATCCGGTATCGCAGCTGCAATAATCCCGCAGCATTCACTACGTTGGCGATGTGGGAAACAACTCACCTTTATCAACAAGACACATCAAGTTCCGATATTACCTAGCGACAAGAAATTTTACCAATAACAAACAAATTCACAACAAACGCTTAGGCATTTTGTATACCATGACTTTGCGTCGTTTCACCACTCCTCCAGGTAAAATTACAGTAATGGAGCGTATATACGCTGAAAATAACAGAAATCCTACGTTTTCCAAATATTCAAACAATACAAAACCGTAAATTTGATGTAGTTCGATCTCGACAACAAATTACCCACTATACCGTTTAACCATACGGTTGTCAAACATATCCAACATTTACCTGCCAGATTCTACCGCAATCGTCTTCCCCGCTTTCTCATGATGAAAGAATCTTACAAAAACAACGTCGCAACTATCGGAAAAATAAGAAAAAATGGGAAAGATATCGTGTCAACACATTCCTCAAACAAGAAGCTGAATATCAGCGTCGCGTCCAACAAGAAAAATACGACCGTGGCTATGCACGGGCCGTGGCTGCTAATCTGAAACGACAAGCACACCTCCCAGAACCCATGATTATTGACGATCTGACAACGACGTTACCTGACCGATTTTATCAATGGTCCGAAGATACAGATGCATACTTGAACGAACCTGACTTTCTATTGCGAAAGAAGAAAAAACGATTGAATTTACCTTCACCTTCATCAACCGATAACGAGGACGCACCCTCGGAATTTTCCAACCAAATTTCAATGGAACAGGACGTCCCATCATAACTTTATGTATGATTAACAAATGGATCCTATGATCACGTATCATTTCACGTCTGACAGTATTTAAGTAAATGTATGAGTTTTAACGAATAAATCAATGAATAACGTAGGACAAGTATAATCACGTGCTAATCGGCCATTTTATTAGCTGCGGCAAGTTAGTACAAAGAATAATTACATCATAAATAAACATATTACATAATCATAAACAATTAAACTATTATTTTACTATATATAGACTACAATTCCCATACAAGCCTCTTTAGGCCGTTTTTACTAAACTAGTAAATAGGGTGGGAAAAATGGGAGGGAGCGTGATTATACTTGTCCTACGTTATTCATTGATTTATAAATGCATTTCGTTAAAACTCATACATTTACTTAAATCAATTTC